AAAACCCTGCTTTAAATAGTCTGAGCTGTAAGACCTGTTCAGGAACCACATATCACTTCTGAGTATAATTTGTCTTTAGTGGAAAGTGAAGTAATGAAGGAATAATGTGATAACAAAGACATTTTAATTAGTTGCTTTGTCATGCACTACTACAACTACATCACTGAGTCTTACTGTCAGCTGATTAATTTCACTTATTAACAACAACTTCACAAAAACCCCTGTATCCCGCCTGAAGCTAGACCTCACGGCTGTGCTGCAGAACTTAAAAAGCAACATGATTTACAGTCATGTGAAAAGCAGTTTTCACAGGATCGGCGCAGTCCTGTGAAAAACTAACTACACTCATTTCAGTAGCTTGTAGAACCGCCTTTATCGGCAATAACTTGAAGTACTCGTTTTCTGTATGAGTCTCTCACATTGTTGCGAAGGAACTTTGGCCTCCTCTTTGTTACAATGTTGCTTTGTTCATCGAGAGCACAGTCCTCCAAACTATTCAAATCGAGTTAAGTTCTGCACTTTGACTTGACCGTTATAAAACGTTGATTCTTCTCTTTCTCAGCTATTCTGTTGTAAATTTCCTGCTGTGCTCGGGGTCATTGTCCTGCTGCATGACTCAGTTTCAGACAAAATTTAGCTCTCGGACAGATGGCCTCACGTTAGTGTCTAGATTACTTTGGTATGCAAAGAGGTGCATGGCTGTTTGGAAGGTGCCCAGGTCGCAAAACAAACCCAAACGTCATCCTTGCACCACCACGCTTGACAGTTGGTATAAGGTTTTTAGTCTCATCTGTCCAAAGAACAGTCCAAACACTGTTGCAGAAGTCTTGAGGTTTGCTCACGTACACATTTGCAAACCTAAGCTGTGCTGTCACGTTCTTTTTAGAGAGAAGAGGCTTTCTCTTGTCAACCCTTCCAAATAAGCCTAGTTTTTTTTGTCTTTTTCAAATTGTACTGTCATGATTTGTAAGATTTAACATGCTGAGGTCTCTGACTCTGAGACGGAACTTTTGTTCTGCTGTGTTGTTACACCTCAGCCGTAAAAGGGTAATGGGGTATTTTCATCACCTTGCTAGGCCGGCAACGTGGACACCCAAAACCTCAGACGA